AGTTACCCCAACCGTGGCCTGGGTGTGAGGACGACGTGGGTCGCCACAGCAAGAAACGTTTCTTGTGCGGGCATGTAGTACCTGCGGGGAGGGAAACTCCCATGGCCCTGGGAGGGGGCTGGCTCCTATAAACATTAAAGGGGGGAGGGGGGGCAAAAGTACGAGGCTTGCGTGCGCGTAGGGTTTTTTTTTGGGGGGGGGGGAATAGACCCCTAGACCCTTTGGCACGACCTTTGACAAGTAGATCCTTCGCTTTTCGTGGTTATCCACATACAGTAGTCGCCGGTTATTAAGCCCACGGTTAATAGGCCCAGCCGCTTATCACAGTAGTCGCCGGTTATTAAGCCCACGGTTAATAGGCCCAGCCGCCTATTAGTCCGAGCTTTTAGCTATTAGAGTAGTCGCCGGTTATTAAGCCCACGGTTAGTAGGCCCAGCCGCGTATTAAGCCCGAGGTCAGCTTGGGACGGAATTTTACATAGCAAAATCCGCCGGCTTATAAGCCCATTTGGTCTGGGCCAGAGGTGGGCTTAACCCATTACCTCTCGGTGATCTCACATGAGATCACTTAAAAATTAAGAGCTTTCGCAGTTATCTGTCTGTGTATACGCATATTTAACCTTCATGCTATATCTATTAGGTAGATTTCTCTATTATCCACATGAGATTTTTAAAAAATTCGCTCTAAATTAATTTATATACAAGTTTGAGGAACCATAGGTATCCAAGTTTCATAACAAAAATCAAAGTGGTTAAAATTATGGGAGGTAATGGGTTAATAACCGGCGACTACTGTAATAGACCGTTACCCATTTTTTTCTGCCAATATTTTCGAAATTGGTGATGAATTGTAATCAGACTACAGTTATTAACCCTGTCTAACTGTACAGTTTTAAGTACCCCTGTAAATGTGTGGCCTGATGATGATTTGCTGAAAACACTGTGTTTGCAAACTTGACTTCTCAAATTGGTGATTCTCAAGCTCTCAGAAATAAAGAATGCCTAGGCGGAAAATATTATTGTCGCCAAGGGCTTAATCACATTCTAAGTTAACAGGCCTTGGTGGAATTTACAACTGTTCGATCAGCACAGATGCGTTTACTACGCCTGCATTGTTATTTTCCAAAAAGAGACGTACCCTTCTTCTTAAGGCCTGTATGACAAAACTATTTTCCGCCCAGGCACCAATTTTTTACCATAACAACATTGGCGGGTAGTTTAGATGCCGTTTCTTTTTCCAAAATAAACTTGCAGGCACCATCGCGCCAACTACAGACATCTGTGATAAATAAATGAGCTGTCAATCTTGGCAGGCGTGTGATTGCGCTCTAAATGCGTCCTGTAAGTGCTGAGATGCCCTTGTCTCCGGCCTTCTCTGATTATCGTTTCGCAAATGAATGCGAAATGTCCTGCGATTTTTGTTCCAGGGCGAAAGGTGTCATCTTTTCAATGGTTTCCTAGGACGGAGAAGCTTACATGTTGCCCGCCCCCGACGGGACAACGCAATAGGAACGCCCTCCCCACATAGAATAGAAGTGGTCTTGCGCGGAATGTCAAGGGGTGTAAACAATCCCGTGTCCCAACTCTAACCCTGACCCATACAGCAACCTTAACCGCAACCTAAACCTTAACAATAATCATAATTGCCCGGAATCGGGCGCAAACTCATTTGTATCACCGACGGATCCTGCTCCAACGCCCTGTCGTGAGACCAAATAAACGACCTCTACCGTTTTCTGCAACTCGCCTTTTGGCCTTCGTGAACTCGCCCAGGGTTATGGACGATGGCCGTCTTCATAAAATTGCGTTTGTGGTTTGCTTACTGGAAAGGCCTTCTTCGTGGTCGGTGCCACTGTGCATTGAGCACTGCCTCAGCATTCTAATCGTAGCACTTATGCTACTTCGACATTCGAGGCAGGCCAGAATTATGTTGTTGTTATGGGGCTGGGGTATTATTTTTCGATTTGCCATCTGTGCAGCGAGTGAGTGAAACATAGGACAGCGGCGACAATTCCAGGCGGGACAGTAGATGAGTGTAACCAGGTGAAACTATTACAAGGATTTGACTCAGTCAGATGTGAGGAGCAGTAGATGTGATCGCTGGGACAAGAATTTTGTTCTTTTGTTCTGATATTTCTGACAAATCCGTCGCGGAGGCATCATCACAGGCAATAGCAGAAACGGGTAATTCATGCACAGAAAGTTGCAGTATTTAAAGGATACATTCACTATGAGAATACATACTTATGATACTTAACGACTACCCGCCTGTGTGCTAATTGCTTGATGGCCGGCGTTCGGGCCGTGACCTGTTGAACTTTCATCCCGCATGGTGGAATTGGACTTGATGATTGCTCGGCCATCTGGTTCCCGGCGTTGTCGTTAGGCGACGCGGTGGCCTGTGCGTTCCCCAAGTGGCTACTGGCTCTGGCCAAACTGAACTTCAGACTGGGGGCCCGTGGACCATAACTCAAGTAATTCGCGACTCACACGATTGTCACCTCTTGCGAGAATTTTCGTCTCATCAAATTTGAATGTGTGGCCGAGTAACGTCGAATGAGCCGCAACTTGAAAATTGACGTCCTATCTCCGCGCTGCTGTTGCGTGTTCGGCAATTCGCATCTTGGGGAGTCTTCTAGTTTCACCGATGTAGTTGCTTTGTCTGCAACTGCACAAGCTGCTTTAGACGACTCCAGGTGTTTCTTGCCGTGGAAGTGGGTCTTTCTGGTTTCATTATCTGACGCCTTATGGTTGCCTCCGGTCTATGTGCGATACCAAATCCAAGGCCTCCCAAAGGAGGGTGCTCCTCTCCGAGCTTCGTATAACTGAAAGGCACTCCAACGTACGGACAGGCAAACGCGACGCACAGGCCAACGCCGGGGAACCAGATGGCTGACTTATCATCACGTCCAATTCCACCACGCGTGATGCAATTTCAGCATGTCAGGGCCCGCACGCCGGGCATCAAGCAACTAGCACAAAAAGCGAGCAATTATCCTCGATGGGAGAGTAGGTGTGCAGCACTATAGTGACTGTGACCTATAAATACGGCAACCCCCTATGCATGAATTAAACGTAAACGCTGTTTGATGTCAGACTTAGGTTACTGTCAAAACAAGCAAACACGTGAGTTCCAGGAAGTCATTGAGAAGAAGTAGGTGTGAACGCTGGGAAAAGAGTTTTATTCTCTGACGTTTCTAACTCTATCGTGGATACAGAGACAATAGCAGAAACTGGTTATTAATACACCGGGACCTGCGATATTTATAGGATACGCTCACTATGATAATGCACACTTACGACCGTTAACAACTTCCCTACAGAGGATAATTGCCCGTTTGTGAGCTTATTGCTTGAGGGTCGGCGTGCGGGTCATTACCTGATGAACTTTCATCCCACGTGGTGGAATTGAGTGCCGCCATTGTTGGGCCACCTGGCTCCCTAAAGCTGGCGTTAGACGACCTTTTGATCTATGCGTTCCACGAAAGACTAATTGTTACTCACTAATCCTGCCCCAATGCCCT